ATCATTCTAATATGCTGATTTGCTGCTCAAGAAATATTTCATATTATTGTCAGTGATTAATATTATTTATTCTATATACATATTCATTATAAGTTCACAAAAGTCAACCCTTTTTTGTTTCTAAACTGTTACACTGATTTATTTCTCTGTTTTCCTCAGGTTTTATCCTAAGTTCTGCATCTCTGGAGGGGGACGAGAAGGTCTTAACATTTCAGCGTTACGTAGAAACCTGTAAATTTGCCAACGGTCTTAAGAAGTTCATGAAAGATCCCCAATTTTCCTCTCAAACGGTAGGCTCTGTAGGAGGAAAGTGTTCGTTTTCGATTTTTAACTTGTCTGTAAGTGTTAAAGGCATGATACTATTGGTCAGGACTCAGGCTGTACTTTAGTAGCTCAACAGAAACATTACAGTCATTACACTCTATGGAGGCGCTGGTGTAATCTGCTATAATGACTTAAGTGTTGTGTTCTGGGTGATCATTACTGCAGGCAGTAGAGTACAGCACAGCAACACTGCCATTATTGCTGGCAACCCACTGGTTGGGGCACATAAAGTCATGCATTAGTTCATCATCCTCGACGTTCTGTGTGGCTTGAATAGGAGGCAGTTGAGATCATTCAGAAGCATTTTGCGGATAAAGTGAGAGCAAAAATCAGCCCCGACCGCACTTATGATGCCAGCTACTACAACATCACTCCATACCTGGACTCTCATGGCACCACTCATGTGTCCGTGCTCGCTGAGGATGGTATGGCAGTATCTGTGACCAGCACCATCAACCACATGTATGTGCACTTAAGTAGCATTCAATGCATTTATACACACAGTGAGATCATATTGTCATTATATTATTACTTTATTAAAGAATGCAATGATATGCAGGAATTCAATTGTGCTTTAGAAAGGGTCAAAACTGACTGTTTCCTTCTCTCTTCTCAGATTTGGATCCAGAATTTTCTCCCCCAAAACAGGCATCCTCCTCAACAATGAACTTGCAGACTTCTGTGGAAAAACAGACCAGATTCATGCTGGTCAGTAAACATTCACAAA